AGTTTCTTAAACAGCTACACATTTAGCGATGCCAACCTCCAAAACTTGGTCTCTTCAAATTTTATTCGAATAATTTTTTTAATCGAACAGTATTCTAGGTTAGAATTGATTACAATACAGTTACAATAAAAAAATAAATTGCACCGTGCTGTTAGATACAGTCAATACATAATTCCTCCGGCGAAGGTTATCTCGCGTAACAACCGGAATTTTTTTCCTTCCGCGCATTCTTGTCAGTATTCAAGATAAACCTGATAAGAGAATTATTTGTTCTTCATAAAAAGTAAGACGAAGTATAAAGCATTTGCATTGAAGACAGTAAAACCTCCATAGTTAGGGGGTCAAATTCTCAGAAATTATTAACACGTGTAATACGTTATCTAACAAGGACTATGAATTATGAATTTCAAAAACACATGCTCCATCGACGCCTCAAAATTTGCCTCCAGTTAAACGATCGTATCCTCCGGAATCCGACGCAGCTAGGCTCTAATGTTTCTGCCAATTAGCAGGCACTTTCTCGGCACACGTTAACCCTAAAAGAGTCCATCAAGATTTTCCTAGCAGCCCAGTCGCTGTACCAAAGATCTCAATCAATCCACCTTGCGTTCCCCCAAAAGACGTCCCCCTCCCGCGAACGGAACCGGCGCTGGTGCTGCAAAACCTTCGGAAAATCGGGGGTATGGGGTAGGGTGGATTGAGACGTGTCGGGGTGTGGCCGGGCCTGGGATTAACCCCTCTGACAGCCAATCATATCCGTGGCAGCCCCACCAGTCGGACGACTGCGAAAGCTGGCTGAAACTGTCGCCCTCGGCCTCTACCCTCTCGCGCAACCCCCACCGTTAATTGCCATGGCTTTAATATCGCGCGTGGAACGAGAACCGTAGCTGTCCGGGTGGGGGGTGGACGCGAGAGGGTGGAGTAAGGCGGCAGAATGCGTCGGAGAAACCAGGAACGGGACTGCGTCCGTTTTGCGCGCGTTTCTCTGTGACATCTACATCGAAACCGGGGGCTGTTTGCGCCCGCGCGACCGTGTTTCTGGATTTTACCTACCATCCCCCCGTCCTTTCTTCGCCGTTTTCGAGCCCGCGTGTCTCGACATTACGGTAATGTTCGATTTTCGAGGCAATTTGCGAGGTTCGTTTGCTTTATTAATGATCCCGCGATTATCGAGAAATCCTGGCGCGCTGCGAGGCCGTAACAGAGATTGATCGACGCGACGGAGTCAATTTGCGTCATCGCTTTTGGGAGCAGCGATGGTGTCGCGCCAGAGCATCCCTGCGAGCTTCTTTGGGATGCTGGACGAGTTTGGTCGTGGACAGGATGTCCCAGTGTCGACGGTGCAACCTGGAAGGGCGTAACGCCGAAAGAACATCGAAAATGAAGGGGAGAATTTTTAAAAAAAAGATCAGAGGTCTACCATTTTTGTTACCAGTAGAATATCCACGATGTCGAGGATTTTAATTAATAATCGGTGTAAACTTGGAAAGCAATTTGCGTAAAAGAATTTTCACGGTCGTCCTCGATTGGAGAAGGCAAAGAAAAGGACTCGACTTCCTCTGAGTAATTCGACTCGACAAACACGGCCATAATCGCGCGGATGAAATTAGTCGCGCATCCGGGCGTGTTCATTTTTAACGCCCCGCGACTAATTAAAGACAGTACGGAAGGCGAACTCGGCCGAAGGGAGATCCGCCGAAGCGAACGAAACTCTCGACCCGGGATCGTCGTCTTCGCCTTCTATATTGGCACGTAAGGGCTGCTCTTATAAAGCGGAGCAATTATCCGGGTAAAATACTCTCCGAAATTTCCGTGATAAATTTCCGCCCGTAATAAGGGTGAGTCGCAAGTCATTTGGCCCGGGGCTTTGGGGAGGATGGGGTATCGAGTTTCAATAGAAATTCTTTCCAATCTTCCCCCCTCCCACGCCCGTCCCCTGGTGCTCCGCTACCCATTTAATTTAAACATTTGTCGCTAATCTCGTTCAATACTGCCAGCAGCGGGCAAGCTCCTTCCACTCGAAAGCTAATAATTACCGACTCTGAATGTAGTGCGAACAGGGTGGAACGATTTCAGCGAAAGCTCCAGACGCTAGAGCAATGATTCTTAACCTTCTTAAACTCACAGCTTGGTTCGGAGCAGGAATAACGAACGAATAGGCGCGCAATAAAACTCACAAATTCGCTAAACATTTTTTAATAGATTCTTAACAATTTTAAAACGTTCTAAAAAAATTATTTTTAGCTAGAGGGGTGAATTATAAGCATTTTTGGTGAATAGACATACCCCCGAAATCCTACCCACTTTCGAGAAAAAAATTCCTTAAAAAATCGTAACTCAATAACAATTTGATTATCTCCAGAAGAATGGAATATAGTGTATATTCGTCTCTGTATATAAATTATTTTTATTTTAATTAAACGATGACCCGGGAAAAGTCGAGCATGTTAAGTATTTCTTTTTATCAATCGACGAACAAAAATGTGTATTCCGAGCGAGTGTTACCGCGATGATATACTTTTAACGACACTTTGTAGTTTGAATCGCGAGACGTCGGCCATGAAAAATTCAATCTCGCGTTTAATTTTACGGCGTCGTTGTACGCGCGTCTTTTGAACCGCCCCGGAACTTGCACGCGAACTTAGCAACTCGGGAAATATACGATGTAATTACACAGATCTATTGTTCGGTTTTCTAAAATATATCCAAACAGCGGTCGAAGTAAATTTGGGATTTATAGCTCAATCCCAACTTCATAATGGGTTCAGGGAACTTTTTGCGTCGTCCATTAATATGAACTCTATTTTCCTATCGGTAGGAGTTGCTGTGCCTTTGCACTTCGATGCAAAAGGCCATGATAAAATACGCAGCTTGTATTTGTCAAGAATTCGTTGCTCAATAATTATTCGAAATGCGACGTGATTTGCCTCTGTGATCGGTATTCGGCGACCGATCCTTGGAATTCATAGTAAGACGCTCGTATAATTATGATACATCGGAGGATGCAGCAAGAAACCAAGTAAGACGGTGATGAAGGGGGAAAAGTCAACACGACGTATAAAACCTGGACGTAATTAAGCTCTCGCCCTTGAGCTTAAGCTCCTTAGAGGTTTTCCGAGGTACTGAAATTCCCGCATACCCGTCAACGTCTAATGAGGGGATTGCGGATGAAGGTTCGGCTAGAAAGGGGGCAATTAGGCAAACCGTACTTGCTCAAATTTTCGAGCACGTGTAAATAATAATAGGCATGTTCAATTAGCTTCGAGCCAACGTTCCTTGGCGAACTTACGTGGAGAACAAAACGATATTCCTCAAACTGGTGGACTGTTGTACTGTGCAAAGGTCAGAAGTTGGCTAGTGTGTCTGATTGGGTATAGTATAATCCCCTGAATCAATCAAGGTGGCTCCATAGGAAGGAGATTACGCTATAACTAGCCAGACTCACTGGCCAACTTTTAATCGCTGCAAAGTACACGACTCGAATAGCCAGCAAAATGGCACATCGCTACCAACATACATATAGAATTATTATTAATAATATAATTGCATAACAGAGGATCAGACTGTTCATTCTGAGCTACTCCGATGCACTGATCGGATCTCAATATACATCCTATTGTTTGCTACCAGATAAGTAGCTAATTAATGTAACTTGGAATATTACCATGCAATCCAATATTGCACAATCTCGTATTGCACATTGACAAAAACGGTTTAATTAATCCGCAGGTCGATCGCGACCAACTCCTTCCGTTCATCGACGATCGAACAATCCGTCGAACAGTTAAATGTTCCACGATCACCGAGAGCTGCGAAACGGAACCCCAGGAGGACTCACCTTTCAGCCAAGTGAATTCATCAGCGGCGACGACTATCTCGATCCGAGACAACGCAAGAAAGATTACCGGGACAAAATTAAACGACCTCATCATCATTAGAACGACCACCTAATTACCGGAACGTCTTAGACGCGGATGACATCGTCGACGAGCGGAGGAAGGAGGACGCGAGACGCCGGGCGAGCGACGCTGCGTCTTCGGGCGCGGGTGTACGCGAGCTTATCCGTCGGTGTGTCGAGGGTAGGTTTGAGGGAGAGGAGGGGGAGGCAGGTTGGTCTACAGAGGAAAGCTTATTAATAGGAATCGCGAGGGGGGTTGGAAGGCCTAGCGCAGGACGAGAGGAAGAACGAGCCTTGAGATCCGCCGCTGAATCCTGGCTGGATGGTTTGAGGCGGAGGGTGGAAAAAAAGTAACAGACTCCCCGCAAATAACCCCCACGGTGTTCCCGGTGGGCGTGGCTAGGCAGCGGGGTGGTGGCGGGACTCGGCCAACCGGGATTCGTCTGGCGCCCCGCGCACGGGGGCTTCCTTCGTCGAACGAAAAAATATTGACCGCGGCGAGGGGGTATTCTGCGGTCCATTTGGGGGTTGCGGAGGTGAAACGCAACGCTGGACTGATTGTTAGGAGAGTGGCTGCACGGGAGGGGGGATGCACGGCCGGGTGAATACCCCCCTCGTCACGTACGGGATCATTAGCCGGATATCCTTAGTCCGGCTGGCAAACCCTCTCTGATAGCGGTGATCCTCGTGCCTGACATCATTATCCTGGGATGCTGTGCAGCGCCAGCGCGGTTCGGCCATCCTTCCAAGCTGCCCCCGTCGTCGTTTCGGTGCGGTCCTTCGCGTTTTTCCCGTTTCTGCCGACGGTTCGAGAACTGCGCGACCCTTGGACCGCCGCGGACCCGCACGACCGCTCGTTTCGATGATGTTGCTGGACGCGTGATGTCGGTGCGCGGGTTCTTCCGTCGAACAGCGTCGTGACAGAGTGCTCAGTGATTGGAATCGTACAACGATGGACTCAGACGATAGTGTTTGGCCCCAGACAGCGGACGCTGCTCGCGACAAATAACCGCGATACCGCTACATATTGTTTAAAACACACTTTATACCGTGATCGTCCGTTGGCTACGAAGTGCACGAGCAAGTTTGCCCCCTCCAGACGATGGAGCCGTGCGATCCGTCGGGACGCTTGACCGTCGAGGACCTGTCCGACTGCAGAAGCGACAGCAGCCACTCCGAGACGCAGCTGAGAGCGTTCCAGGATTACGAAAGAGTGAAGGAGCTGAATTTGTCGATAGGCAAGTCGAAGGAGGATCCCTCGGTGGAGCCAAAGGACTTTCATTTGGGGTTAGACCCAGGCAGGACCTCGATCCGTTTCGAGGAGTTCGAGAACGCCGCGAGGAACCTGCCAATGACGCTCAGCAAGGGCAAGGAGTTCGGTTACATCGCGAACAACCTGAACGAGATGGCCTACCCGATGGACAGATCGAGCGAGAACGACGAGTCGATGGACACGACCAGCCTCTGCAGATCCAAGAACCCGACGGCCAAGGATCTTATGTTCAACTTCCGCGAGGGCAGGCAGAAGAACGCCCACGCGGCGCTGGCGCTGGACAGGTACAGCAAGGATCTCGGTTTCGCGGTGTCCGAGAAGGACATAAAGGACTTTGGTCTGCTGAAGAACTACAGCCTGGACCGGATGAAGGAGTTCAGTCTGTCGTTGGACAGAACGAGGGACGGGCACATCGGTAACTTTGCCCTCGAGAGACTCCGCGGGGGTGCTGGCATGCTTGACAATCCTCCGGTGTTGGAGCACAACGAGTTCAAAGGTGTTCAGGTGCAACCGCGTAGCCAGAATCTCGAGGCCATTGCGTTGGACCGCATGAGACGATCGCATTTGTTGGGCACGGACCTGTCCGCACAGAATCTCTCCTCTCAGCTGCCCCATCCGCACGCCATCACACAGATGCAGCACTCGCAGCAACAACAGCAACAGCAGGCCAAATCGTTCACCATCGATGCCATCCTTGGACTGAGGAACAACCCCAGGGAGAAACGGGGACAGCAACAACAGTACAAGAAACATCAGGGTATTTGCTTGGATTGCTTTTTACTTTTTACGTCTCTGACAAGGTACATCGTCTGTCGATATTTGGTTAAAGGGGTGGAAACTACCCTTGAAATTTTGGATTACGTATTTATTTATTTGAGCAGAATCGAAAGTATCCGTGCGTTGAACGCATATGGGCGTTTAAGAAGCATGCATGAGAGTGTGATTTAGGGGTTTCCGCACGAGAGATGCGTCTAGGTTTCGAATGCGACAAAAGGGTTATGTAGAAACTTTTGGATACTTATTGGCCTATCTGGGATTCATTACAGCATGTTGATCGTTAGATTATGTATTCTATTCAGTAAATAATTCAGGTAAATTTAACATTTTTAAGTAGCACTACATACTTTTTAAATGATCTTGAGCTTAGAAATTGACAATTCATTAGGAAAACGAGTTTCTTTATTGATATGCAAGTGACACATAACTGTTTGTAAACAATGAACACACTTACCCTTAGGATTGACCTTTAGGGGTCATCTAAAGATCACTAAAGTATAGTGGGTCGTTGAATTCGTTTATCAAAATAAGTTGTTTAAAAATTTCAAGCAACGAGATGATTGACATTTGGAACAGCAAATGGAATCGAGAATGTAACAAATAGCATACTTCGCTCGGTTTGGGTGAACGTCAATCAGAAACAAATGAGAAAACACCAGGAAGATTGATTGCTCCGCGGTCTGGTGAAATTTTTGTATCGATTTTGTCCCTGCAATTTGACAAATTTTAGTTCATCCTGGCTGCGATCGTGAATTATTGCAAATTTTAATGCCTCAATAACAACCCCCTATCTTTGGTGGCTTAGCTGCAGCAAGGTATACATTCTGACGTTTCCATAACCTTTTCAAACTATCCTCTGGTGTACGAATGTCAGGGAGATACTCAGGGAAAATGAAAAAAAAACTTTTAGTACCAGTCATTCGCTCGTAATATTATTACATGCATGCCAGAGGGAAAATAGTCAATAGTGATGGAATAACACCCACACAGAGGGGGGGGGCTGAATAATAGTTTTGGTCTTTTATTTGTATGAAATTGCAGGCCAGGAAGGAGGCGCGAAGAACGGAAGCTCGAGCTCGTGTTCCAGCGGTGGTGGGAAGCTGAAGAGGGTGCGGACGATCTTCACCGCCGAGCAGCTGGAACGTTTGGAGGGCGAATTCGCGCGTCAACAGTACATGGTGGGCCCCGAGCGACTGTACCTGGCCCACGCACTCAGGCTGACGGAGGCCCAGGTGAAGGTCTGGTTCCAGAACCGACGGATCAAGTGGCGAAAGCACCACCACGAGCAGCAGAGCCAGAGGGTGCACGAGTTCCAGCGCACGCTATCCTCGTCCCTGGAGCACGAGGACAGCAACGAGACCGACAAATGGTGAAAGGACCCCGTGTTCCTCGATCGTGAACCGATCGATTTCCTCGTCCCACCCTGCGCGTCCCTATTATCGTTGCTCGATCACGCTTCGATCGGATTAATTGGGGAAATTCGAAGGACGATCGAGGATGAGCCACCATCGCTGACGTCCTCCAAACATCTGGACTCCATTGTTTCTGTTTCGTCCTTGTGATCCCCAGGGGGGTCTCGATGGTCCCTCGAATCCCCGATTGAAAAAGAAACGGTTTCGAAGAAGCTAGGTCAGAGACAGTTCTCCAGCTTCGAGGACATTCGTAGATACAAAGGCGATCAGTGTGTTTTACGAGGTCGTCGAATAATGACGGAAGGGACCGTTCGTGAATCGAATACTTTGGATAATCGCGGTTTCTCGAATATTTGAGTGTGTTACGTACAAAATTGAACAGTGTCTCTCTCGAATCGACGTCTCCTTGGAACTTTGTTTTCTGGTCACTGGTTGGACGATGACGTAACGAGAGGATCTACCGAACCGACGCAGGATATGTAAATTCTTGTCGAGCACGTGCAAATGTGAACGTTTGAACGCTTTTTTCCGGACACTCAAGGGGGGGAGAATTTGCAATGATGAAGCAAGTCGAAAATTATAAACCTAAGTACGTGCAGCAGTCGGTCTCCGACAGTAGGAATCCATCCGAGGGGTATTGGAGTCATCAACAAAAGAAAATTCAGCTTGTTCCGGGTTGCAGAAACAGCAGGTAGGTAATACCAGGGTAAAAATGACCAAACGAATTTTTTTTTTGGAAATAAAATGAATGCCTCCTGTTGTCAAGGAATTCGGATACAGTGGCGAGCTACTCCTGCTCGGCTACTTATAAGCTACAGAAGGGTCATGGGTGTTCCAATCTACCACACTCCAAGTACACGTCGCCTCACGGACCCGACGCGTCGCACCATTTGCAGGGTCACTCGAAATTCGGCAGAGAGAAACACATCGTCAACTTTTCGTCGACGAGGAAAAATCGCTACGACGACGAACTGGGGAACAACGAGAAATTTAAGTACTTCGACGATTTGGGGAACTCCACCGAGGACAATGGGGAGGAGGACGCGGAAGAGGAAGGTACAATCGAACGATCCCTCTGAAAAGTAATCCGTGAAACTTCGGAAAGACATCGTTCGTAGACGTTACTCGTGTCTGTTGGGTCGAGAGGGAACGTGTTGCAAATCTGTAACATTCAGAACTTGCTTCGACAGAGGATGATAGCGAGGAGGCAGAATTCCGGACCAAGGATTACGACGAGCAGGAGGTTGACGACGAAATAGACGAAGAATCCGACGCGACGCCGCGGAACCATAGAGTCCAGAGGGGCAAGAAGGAGGCATTGTCGAGGCAACAGCGATGGAGGGCCGTCGAGCAGCAGCAAGATCCGCGAAGGCTTTGTTGCCAGCAACGTGTGTTGGCTTTGGGCCAAGGTCATTCGTCATCAGCCAGGTTGGTATAACTGGACAGCAATCGTTCATATTACGACTGACTATAGGTGTCATCAACTACCTTGGCTGGGCAGAGCTATTGAGATGTCATTCTCAATATACCAGAACCTCTGGTGTTCCGATTTCTTGCTCTGTGTTTGTTCCTTGGTCATTTGGTCTATTCTCCAGATTAGTATAGCGATGTAACAATCTGTCATGATTATAATTGACTATAGCCACTATCGCTAGTCATTTCTGCGTTTAACCCTGAAACGTTACTGTGGCCAGGTGCTATCGCAACGTCGCCGAACACGACGTTCCCGTGCCCTTATCAGAAGAAGACTTCGTCCCAACTTCGCTGAAGAGTCCAATGAGGCGACCAACCGCGGACTATCATCAATGGACACCGTCGAGAGGCGAGTCCGATCGATACGATGCCGCAGCATTGCCAATTCAGTCTCGACGAGCCCGCGCGAAACCAGAGATGGACCACCTAATAGAGTCTGAGCTGAGCAAACCGAGGAAATGCAATCGTTGCGGTAACCTGTCGAGCAAGAGGATCGAATCGCCCACGAGAACCAGCTGCAGATACGATGATCGTGCGAGCTTTCCTACCAAGGGACCAATCGGTAAGCTTATCTCATTGATTTGCCTTCGATTGCTACGGTGTTGAAGTGTTTACTATGCGTTATTATATTAGAGTCTCAGATCTGGAGTAGATCCTCGAACGGCAGTTAAAGGTTTCAATGTCTCAGACTCCTGTGCTTTTCACAGTGCTAATCGATCACATCTTTTTAGGCGACGAGCCTGACAGCCACGAGCAAATGTTCTGCGGCCGTTGCAGCTTGAGGTATACCGCGAAAGACGTCCCACCACACGTCTGTTCGACGAAATCGCGTAGATCCCGAGAGAAGAAGTCATCTACGATCTACGAAGTTCCCGAACAAGGCCATCTCGAGCAACCGTCCTCGTCGAAGTACCACAGAAAGCCTGTGGATATGTTCCCCGAGAAAGTGAAACGTTCCATGCACGCGTCCCACGGTCTTTTGCGAGTACCACCTCGTTACGTGGAGTGACGGGTTTCCCTCGACTCTGATACGAACCAAGAGTCTCCGGAGACCAACAAAACACCCAGAAAGATGTTTGTGCAAGCGACGAAGCACCGAGAGAATCCTCGTGACGTTTTGGGATCGAAAACTTTCCGTTCCACGATCGTTGTCCCGTGTGATGTACTTTTTAAGAATGTGTTAACCCGGTTAAAAGCGTATAAACGAATAGGGGGGCGTTTGCGGGAATCTAGAGCGCCATCGCGACGTAGTAATACTTCTATCCGATCGTTTACCTCCTAACTGGTTGTGTAATATATATTTTTGTAACTGTCCTCGAGCCGTGTAGATGTTAACTGGGCGTTGTCCGCAACCAGAATCCGTAAGAGCACCAGTAGCACGACTGTAAATATAGGCGAAGCTAACTCGACTAGGGTAAAACGCGTCCTCCGCTTTTCGTTTTCAGTGTGACGATTCTTCTAAACCACGTTTCCCCGGCACCGGCGCACAAAATCGACTGTATATAACACCACTTATGTTTTTTGTGTACAGGTACACGTACATGTTACAAAAAAAAAAAAAAAAATAAACCTTCGAATCTATATATTATGAGTGTATCTCTTTCCCCTAGTCTTCTGCACGCCTTTCCTTCACTACGCTGGTCGATGCTTCGAAAGCTGTCCACGTGACAAACCTCGAAACTTGTACATAGCTGTTCTCCACAACTTTAGAAACTACTTGGAACCAGCAACTCAACTGGATTATTCAAATCACAGAAATTGGTAAGTATGTACAATTTTTGTATTTTTTGTTTTTTTTTGAAAACATAAATACAATTTTAACTCAAAGTTTGAATTCATTTCCACGAGGAAAGATCAGCTAGAGACGAGCTTGAAAAGTGTTCGTCGTCAACCCCGATCGTGAGCATCTTTCAAGGTTTTCCTGTACTCCGTCGCAATTATTTTTTCATTTTGAAAGACGGTATTCAAAGTGCTGTTATTTTCGATAAGAGAGAATTGCACACAGTTCTTTGCCAAAAAATTATTGAAAAGGACTTAAGAATCAAGTAAATTTTTCAATTTCTTTTATTTCGCTAATGCTGGCCTCGCGCGGAGACATCCATACGGAACCTTAATTAAAGATAAAGACTTTGAATGGTTTTATTTCCGCTACAGGGCGACCGCCACGAAAATGGTAGCAAAGTTATTTCAGCGAAGGGTAGGGCAAAGATTAAGCTGGCAAAAAACTCCCTCTCGTGGCTTGTTTTCTTCTTGCAATTGGTAGTAATTAATTAGTACTGCGTCTCGCGCTCTTTCTGGGATTTTATTCGCCTGGCTACAAGAGGGGCTGGCTTTTTGCCGGGCCACAAAGGCAGAAGCTCTCAACGGAGCTTTTGTTTAAATATTAATAACGCGCTGAAACTCTGTCGCTCTCTCGTGGCGGCGGGAGGCCAGGCTTTGTACAATTAAACTTAATATCTTTATTATATCGGACCGTCGAAAGCGGATATTATTTATTGCGGAGTAAGTCGGGCAGAGGGGGGAGCGAAAAGGCAAAAATGTTCCCGCCAAAAACTCGATGACGGTTGCCCTCTGTTCCAGAAGTGTCATCAAATCCCAACGAACACGAACAACGAACCTACACGTACGAATAAATCCGTGAAAGTCAGTATTTTTTTTTTATTTGGACTCGTTTAATATCATCAAAGGCAAAAATATATTTTCAACATTTTTGTTCGTCCGGTACCACTACCTAAATAACGACTAAACACTCTGTGGCAGAGTCAACGTGGAGGCGGGGGAACAATCGTTGAAACGGATTGGAAGTTGTCATTGATTTCGCATAGACGCGTCGTTCGACGAGAGTAATTCCAGAAAAATCTGACGTGGATGACGCTGATAACTAATATTCGCTCGTTACGCGCACCCCTTTTGTCACCGTGATAAATTAGCCGTCGACCCATGTCAAAGGGCTACAAAGAAAGCAAACCTTCGATGGAGAATCGTACGGACTTCGCTATCACACTGATACATCGACGGTATCGATCGAGAACGCGATACTTCGACTCTGATCTGTCGTCCTGTTCTGGGAACCCCCGAAGTTTCATCGAAATGCACATAAATCTTATTCCACAGATACCACATGTATTTTTGTAAGTTGTTACTTAATTTATATTATTACGTTTTTAAAAGATTACTAAGAAGTTTCTCTGAGAAGCAAAAGTGGGTTCCAACGAACAATAAAACCATCATTTTGCTTTGGCAATTGTAGTGGACATATTTGTTAAATCGTGTTGTAAGGGGTACGAATTATCCTCTGATCACTAGAATAGAGAAAGCTACGAACGAAAATAACTGAGCAGCTGGAACGAAAGATTAAAAATGTTTGCGGACCGCAGAGGGTTAAAGTAAGTGGCGCCATGTGGAATTATTCGAACAGAAAGGGTTAAAACATACGTTCCGCAGTAATCCGGATGATCCGGTGAAAGAAATCTCGGTACGGAGACGCGGATCAAAATCGACGAGAAGAGAAAGAGCGGAGGTGATAAGCCTCGATATATCCGGAGCTACACCCCATGCGCGAGATGTAAGCTCCGCCTATCCCTGGGTTACACCGGGACTTCCAAGACCCCCGTGAACCCCCCACCATACGTACAGGGGATAACCCAACCCCCGTTCTATCGTCGTTGGCATCCGCGGCATTCCAATTAGCTCGCGAATCAAAAGAGCCCCACTGCCTTTGTGGGGTCTCACCCTACCCCCCCAGTAAACTGTCTCCATCCCTCTTTCGACCCCCCTCCGCCATCCGTTTGGCTTCTCTTTCTCCGTGCTTCTCTCTCCAACGACTGCGCGTCCCCTTATCCACCTCCTTGTCTCTCTCTCGCTGCTTTCTCCTCTCCACCTTCCCCTCTTCCCCCTCAACGAGCACGAATCTTTCCTCCGCAGTTTTATTTCGCGACACGCGTCCCATCGTTCGCAGAATTGCGACTCCGTGTAGAATTTCCCATCGTCGAATCGCGACACAGGACGACGGTCACGTGGCCCCCGTCGTTGATTACTCTTTGTCCCCCGGACTGGCGTCTCAATTTTCGGTATTTTATATTCGTTGCGTTTCAGCGTTAAGAAATTGATTATCGGTCTTTGACGTATAGTTTTCTTTTTCGTTCGAGGGAATTTATGGCTTCGGGAGATATTTTATAAGTAAGGGAGCCACGTGCTCGAGATTGGCGTACGGCTTCCCGGGAACAGGTATTGAAAAAATTAATTTTCTCGGGGATTCCCGGAACCCGTATTTCTTTATCCACGCCATAATCTTTTTAGAATTCGTTTCGATGCATCGTGCCCCATATTTCAAGCCATTCCATCCGCTGGTGCACTGCGTAAGGGTTAACTTCACGAGACAACGATCTCTGGCCCCGGTATCGAACCGAAGAATAAACGAACACTCAAAACTGCTCGATGTCCCCCTCCCTTCGGTGGAAAACGGGATATTCGCGTATACCTATGTAGACGTAGCTCGGCCAGGGGGTAATTGAAATCGGAGGAAACCGCTCGTGACGTTTCCCGCCGCTCCCGGACCGCGACGAAGCGGAACACAAATTTTATTACGGGCGCGCCTCTATCCACTTCGTTAGATACCACTTTGTTTATCATTCGCGGATATTAAAATCGTCGACGTGGGTTGCCCGCGTGTTGCTCCGCCCCCCGCCTTCCCCCACTGTCGGGTTTCGCGTGCACGTACACGCCGCGTCGCCGTCCGATTCCCATAAATCCGCGACCGTGTTTTTCGGTGGTCGTAAGCACGATGGAACCTCGCGTTTTCGAGATTAAAATCCGACGCTAAGAATTCCACGTTCGAGCGAGCCGATGGTCGTATCGAGCCGCGCTTTTCTACCCCAACCCTTCCGTCCCCCCCTTTCCGCTCCGCTCCTCGCCCGCAGCTTTTTTATTACTTTCCGCGGCCCGTTTATGAAATTACGGCGCGAATTTTTTCGCTAATTGCCGCGAGCAGAGCGGAGCGTCCTCGAGGCGGGCAATCGGAACGCTGGAGATTGATATAACTGGCGCGAAATTATGTCAAAGCGTACCCTGGGGGGAAAACGGTGTTATTGAACACCGGGAGGGGGGGAGGGGGGTTTTTTTTTTTTATTTTTAACTCGACGAGAAGCCCGATCGAATAATCGACGTTCAAATATTCACGATTAAACGCTTTGAACGAAAACTCGGGCTCGTCAGCGCTCTCGATCGGTTTTTCATTTGCACCGCGCGCTGTTGTTTCCACGGATGGGATCATTTCGGAATATTATATTGCAATCGATGCGTCGTTACGGCGCTAATGCGTGAATCGCTGAAAATAGAAGAAATTATGTCTCTGTTCGTCAACGTCGTTTTAGTTCGCCGCGTATTTACGCTATGCTAGTGTACGGGTTCTAAGAAAGAAATATGTGTCTCTAAATGTACCACGTTACATATTTTGCTTTCTAAAGTATCAGGAGGGATATGTTCGCTGATATTTCATTTATTCCGAATTTTTCAAGGGCCAAAGGGAATAATCGCAACGATGCGTAGATGGCCGCGATCACAGAATATGTCGGCACGATCAAAGGGCATACCTTTGCGTGAAACATGCCAGCAACCCCCCTCAGATTCATATCAAACAATGACTGAACCTGTAATCGGCATAAGCAAGCAGTGGAATATTGTCTGAAGAAGAATAGAAAACCGTGAGTCCTTGTTCCAAGTCTAATGGTAATAAAAATAACGCTAATTTTGATAATGGTAAAGACGTCAGGGGAGAAAATTGTATTACATATTTATTTAAGAGGTAAACGTGGTAATTTTAAAGGAACGTTGCATTTGAATTGCTGAATGGGATCAATAAAATATGAAATTTCTATGACGTCTGATGTCGTGGAAGAGGTTTCCCAACTCCTTCCTGACCACGTTGGTCCAATTAACGTTGTAGATGCGATAACGAGTAGCCCCCGTTTAATTTATCGTACGATGAAACGACTGTTCGCTACAAATTGC